AACGCCCGGAAAATGCCATCCAACTATTTTAGAAATCATGGTAGCGACAAATGTATTATGGATGTAGCCAAGTACGATGTTCCGATTTCTTGAAGTTGACATAAAGTTATAAAACAGACCACTTTACCACTTCACTTCCAAAGGTTGAAATGAAATTTCATTTCAACCTTTGGAAGTGAAGTCTGATGATCCAGAGACCTTTAAAAGGGCTGTGGTGAAGTTGTTTGCTGCATGGGGCCTTAAAGTGGTCTGTTTTTATTCAAAAATATTTGATCATAGCAAATATATATTGTTAAATAGATATCCGAATGCCTCAAGCCAGGATCGAAGCCCAACTGATTTGGTGTCAGTCAGAGCTTCTATCACTGAGCTATCTTCACTCAGCAGAGTTTAATAGCTAAATCTAGCGTATTGTTTATAAGAATGTAAACAAATGCCAATCAGCTGGAGGGCTCCAATTCATTTTACTGAAGAGATTTGCATTAATGCATGTGGATGTTATTTATAGAATTAGCTTATCACTCAAGAGCGCTCAATTGAAATATATTTTCAAGAGCAGTCAGAGCTTCTACCACTATTATAATATTTTTCTTTTAAGAAATTATAATAAAACCATTTTACATCGCTACTCAAAAGCTTTCATGTTTCAGTACTATGATAGTATTTCTTCAAGTGATTGTAGATAACTTGTGATAAAAAAGTCAGATCTGCGCTAAAATAGAAAAATAAGGTCAGAGGGTGGAGTTGGATGAGTTATTTCACAATAAACTGACGCTTGGATATGCCATCCAACTATTTTAGAAATCATGGTAGCGACAAATGTATTATGGATGTAGCCAAGTACGATGTTCCGATTTCTTGAAGTTGACATAAAGTTATCCGAAACAAATTTAATTTTTTTTCTTTTTATATATTCAGGAAGCTTCTTAAAGGGGTCAGTAGATAAAATTAAAAATGTGGAATATATATGATGCTAATAATACTGAATAGACGGCAAAACATTAAAAATGAATAAATCAAATAAATAAAGTACCCGTAATGGGTTGACCATTATATACTAATAAATAATGGCTATGAAATTGTAATACGTAATTATTTGTGAAAATGTTTTTAACTATATTTTAAAGTAAAAGATAGACAATATCGGTTTCGGTTTAACAGAGCTTTTTTTGTTAGAAAACTTTATATGTATTTTTTCTTGTAAATACAGGAAACAGAAATCATGTAAAGATTTACAAGTTCTATTTTTAAAAAAAATATTTTCCCTTTTACTGTTGGGCTTTTGTTAACTTCTTTTAAGTACCAAAAATATTTACAAAGGGATGTCCTATTACGGTATGCATTCTTGTTGAAAGATAATATCTTTTGATACCATCATATATGTTGATATCATCTAAATGTTCTCCAACATATTTATATATTATCTATTGCGTTAATAAACGGGACGAGTGTCTGATCAATGAGAACTAACCTAAAAACAAAACATACCAGTACTCAGTCGATTTGCTTTTTACATTTCAATTCTCGATCTCTGACGAAGTCTTAATAAAGATGAAACATCTCAGATTGAGATACATTTCCTACTTGATCTTTATTTTATTATATATATATATATATATATATATATATATATAGAGAAAAGAGAGAGAAAGATATATATATATATATATATATATATATATATATATATATATATATATATATATATATAAAGGGCACAACTTCTAATTACTTTGTACTTATCATCGAACATGGCTTCATGCATTTGTCGTCGATATTTGTCCGATTGCGAACATAAGTAATCAGTTCCATTTTCTGTGACAATAACCAATTTTGAGTTTATATATCGAACCCATGAAATTGCTAAGAACTTAAATATTGATTTTAAGGCCGAGAAAACGTTTTCGACTTTGAAATTTTGTCCAGCGACTTCTTCCTGTTATATTCACGATAGTTATATTTCTGTACAATCTTTAAAATCAGCCGCATAAGGCTTTTGGGATTTCATTCGCTTGGTCCTCAGTTACAATGAAATTTCAGTTCACACCTGGCCGTGAATTGTCAGAACTCAGAAGACTTCTCTTCTGGCAGGACTGATCACATTTCACATTCACGCAATGCATAAGTTTTACTTGTAAACCTGACGTTATTCTATTAGGGTTAGATCTTTTTAAAGAACACCTTGAAAACACAGACCGCGCGCATGCGCAAAAACGTGTATATATATATATATATATATATATATATATATATATATATTGTTTGATTGATTGATTGATTGTTCTGAATAGGTCTGGCGTCGAGCAGCTGAATAGTAATTATTTCCCTTAAAGAACTAAATCCTATTTTGGAACAGTATTTACATCATTTACAATGATTTCGATATTTCCAACATAAGCAGATACTTTTATCAGGACACACACACACACACACACACACACACACACACACACACACATATATATATATATATTGTATGTGTAAAATGACATCTGATGCTGTTAGTAGAGATTTGTCTGCTTGCGTTTATTTCTGACCGATTTTGGTTCCATTGCTGTAAATGGAACAAAGATAGAATCATTGTTATCTGTTAAGATGAGAAAGAAAGAAATCCGATATCTAAAGAGAACTTCCATAAGTTTTTTAAATGGAAAATGGTTATATATTTGACCCCCTCTCTATATATATTTACACTCACTCACTCACTCACTCACTCTCTCTCTCTCTCTCTCTCTCTCTCTCTCTCTCTCTCTCTCTCTCTCTCACTCTATCTCTCACACATATATATATTATCATTTATAATCTTTAAAATCTTTTAAAATTCTGTATTAATTTTTACCGGTCAAATGGTATTGTTATTAAATTAACACTGTATTTAATAATCATAAATGAAAAGCTTCCTGTAATTCAACAACCCCCAATATTTTAAAAAGTATTTTGTATTTATTTTATGTCTGTATAAACGTGTCGAATTCATTGGTAATTTTCTAACATTTCCTCAACAAGCGTCATCGTAAGCCAACTTACCTAAAATTCAATAAAATATTAAATTGATTATAATATTTTCTTGAATATTTAAGATTACTGGGCAGTTAAAAAAATTATATAAAAAAGTCATTCCCTTTGTATTGTTGCAGTTATGTACCTTGAAGAAAAAATCCCAAATATAAATCTGTCGAGAGAGTTTTCAACACCTCTTAAAAACACCCATTACCGTGTTAAAAACGATCATTTCTGTGTTAAACTAAATCAATATTTGTTTCAAATCAGACTAATTATATTTTAAATCAACTAATCTTTCTCATATAACGTTTCAGAAAAGTATATTTCATTTTTGAAAGGTTTTTGAATTAAGGGAATTACGTTGTATGGACGATTTTAATGCTTTTATTCATAAAAAAATATTCCAATCAATTTAAATTTGGCTTGAAATACAGCAAAGGATTTTACTTATCGGAAATATTAAATTTTACGTATTAAATTGTATTATGTATTAGCCTAAAATTTAAACTAAAATAAAAGCTTCAAGAAATATTTTTCATTTTTAAGAATTCATTTTAAAACCATGGTATCTCTTTTTTGTTTTATATATATATATATATATATATATATATATACATACATTTTTATATATATATATATATATATATATATATATATATATATATATATATATATATATATATATATATATATATATATATATATATATATATATATATATATATATATATATATATATATATATATATATATATATATATATATATATATATATATATATATAGAGAGAGAAAGAGAGAAATAGAAATTTAAACAAATTTTACATTTAGATGCAGATATTTCTCCTCTATTGGGTTCTGGGATTTTGAACAGCATGTCTTCAAATGACACATGTTCAAGCATGAACTTATCTTATTAGTAGATTGTTTTTGTCTATGTTTTTGTTTAGCGGCATATCAACACCTCTATGGGGTATTCAATGCCTAAATCTAAATGTTTTGTACGTAATTTTATTTTGGGAGATAATGATGGTTTACTGATACAAGTCTTTCTAATTAACCCATAACTTGGGGAGAAGAGCTGGATTCATAACTTTCAGAAGGGTATTTGTGCTTAAGTAAATATAACGAACCTACCTGCATTTGAAACTCGGCTCTCCGATTAACAATTCCGAGCCATTATCCGTTATACCACCCGCAAATCCAAGCTTTGGGTACCCGTTATTCTCAAATTGTCACCCATCTATGTACTAACTGCTAACTTCGGTGATCGTACGAGAAGCGGCGTTTCAACATGATATGGCCGTAAGCCACCTTGACTTGGTTTCTAACACCTTTGGGGAGTGTGACGATGAACTGAATTCTTCGTTGTTCAAGATAATCGTTCCATATTCTTTCTATGAGAAAATTCTCTCTCAGTATATATTCTCCATGATATTTTTCTCATCTGAATTACCGTTCTTCTAAACATTTGATGTGTTTGAACATTCTGAGACAGATTTACTTCTCCAGAGTTTGCTGACCAAAAATTTGAATCTCACTCAAGAAAAATATCAAGAATCTTTTTTCTAAATGCTGTACTTCTGGACGTTGATGATCATGGCACTCCACAACTCCCTGTCCTTAATAAATTTCAATTATCTCTCTTAAACGCTGCTCAGCCTTCTATTTAGATAAGCTCGTTAGGCAAGGTTTATGCGCTGTTTTCCTCTCTCCCTCATGCTTTCAATATGTCCTGCGAGTGTCAAATTTTCCAAGTCACCTTTCCTCATTATGTGCCAGAGAAATTTCAACTTTTGCTTTCTGATTTTACGTATAAATGTCCGTTTTGTTTCCATTTTTTCCCCAAATTAATATATTTACAGCTAACAAGTAAATAATAACTGGCAATAAAAGATAAAACAAAATGACAGATGAACAAAAAATAGAAATAAAATAAAATCGTAAATCCCAAATTATACAAAATTTGAGGAAATGAAATTCGTCTTTTCGTTAAAGCAAACTGCGTTTGGCTAAGGTTTAGCTGGATCATTCCACTTCGTGACAATTTTCTGACCCTCTCTCTCTCTCACACACACACATTAACCTTTTTCTCTTATTCTTACTTTCTCTCTCTCCTTTTCTCAATCTATGTCTCTTTCACACTTCTCCCCATACACGCACTCTCCTTTCCTGACCTTTTATCTACGAATCCGTGACCTTATTAATAAAAAAAATAAATTAGTTTTCTGATTTCTTTCTCAACTAGAATCTTTCTCAAAATTCGTATAAAGCATCGCTTGAAGCATCACGTGGGGGCCCCAATCCTAACAAGATACGCTGTCTTTTAATGTAGAGTCTATAGTGAGAATTTCACCGCCAACATTTCTTCCCCATCCTTCGACTTCTAACTCATAAATTTCATTTTCGGTGACACCTGTTTTCGACTAGCGAATTTCCCAAGGCAGCTTCTAACTTTAAACAATACTCAATTACTCACCTCCCCGACTCTACTTCATAACTTCTTCTGTTTCTCACGTCAACGCAAAGCATTTGTCGTCTCCTGCTGTTTACTCACCCGATCGTCAATGTCCTATTCGCAGTGGTTCCAATAACTGACGCTCCCCGACCCAACATACAACCGCGAGGAAGATCAGACCGTTCACTGACAACATCTGTTTCTCTTTCTCAGTCAATCGATACCCACAATTTGTGTTTCAATTCATTCTTCTCACAAAGTCTGTTCTGCAAGACACTGAAATAAATGATTCCCAATATTCGTTGCCGTCTCAAACGGGGGATTGGTTCTAGTCCCGTCAATTCTTGTTTCTGTTTCAGAAACGCGGCGAAGAAGGTACGTTTGTAACATGAAGAAGATGGCCATTTATTAGATGAGATTTATCCGCTCTGCAAACTTCTCAGTTTCACTTCTTCAGTAGACTGTATAGCGCCAATTAGGAAAATGTGAAACGGCGAGATGTCGGCCGAATTTTCATCACGATCTGACAGATAAAACAACGACCTCGCGGTCGCACACACACACACACACACGAGCGCGCGCGCGGATAAAATAATGACAAAATAAAACTACAGTGTAACCCGGATATAAGAGACCCGAGTATAAGAGAAACCCGGATATAAGAGAGATTTTCTCTGGTCCCAAATTAGAGCCTGTGTTAATGTATATAAAATAGACCAAACCCGGATATAAGAGAAACCCGGATATAAGAGACTTCTTCTCCGGTCCCGGCAACTCTCTTATATCCGGGTTACACTGTATATTATGCATTTCGTCCATCGAAACAACTTCTTTAAACTAATTATGTTTTAAATTAATGTTGCTTCAAACATTTGTTTGAACATTTTTTTTTCGTAGGATTGTTTTTACCCAAAAATCTTAGAGCATTTCAACTTTAAAATAATGAGATCTTGCTGTCGATCTTCTACAACGCTTAAATTCATGAAGTCTATTTACCAATGAGGAAAGCTAATGAAAAAGGCAACCGTGAAAATATTCATAGAAGCTACGTTACGGCGGTAGGCAAGTGTCTGAAGACGAGATGCCAAATCAGAACCAGCGTCGTTACCTTTTTTTTTTATTTAATCATGAATCTCTAAAGACATAGGAGAAGCACCAGACCAGATATGACAGCAATATTCAATGCATGAACGAAAGATAGATGTATAAATGTGTAAGATAAATGCTGACGAGAAAAATTGCCTAGCACAACACAGTAAACCAACTCTCCTAGCAGCAAAAATAACAATTAATTCAATATAATCTTTCCACTTCTTGTCAACGGAAAAGTTTAGCCCGAGAAGATGTAAAGAGTCATTCTTCTGAAGGTTAGCATCAGCCATGCTGAAGAAATGCAAAGAGATTTCTCTTAGTTGATTAAAAGAGAGAAGTTTCGTTTTAGAGGGATTAAAATTAACAAGTCATTTCTTGCCCCAGCTAGCAAGATTGTCGGACCTTTTTAGATTCTAATTAGTAAGCGATACACGATAGCATTTCTGACAGCATAGACAAGGCTCTCTCCCTCCACCCGTTTGCTCACATATTTGTGTTTGGCGACTTTAACGCCCATCATAACTTGCTACTACTGACCATGCAGACATTCAAACGCTCAATTTTTCAGTCTCTCAATCCCTCACGCAGATAGTTAACTTCCCCACTCGTTTTGCCTTCAACCGGGAAGGTAAAGCCTCTCTTCTCGATCTGTGTTTTACCTCCATCCCCAAGTCTTGCAGCGCCTCGCAACTCTGCCCTCTTGGTAACTCTGATCATGCAGTAGTATCTGTTAACATCTCCTTCAACTCCACCCCCTATAAAAAAAACTCCTAGCACTAGAACTTCGTTCTACTATCAACGAGCTGACTGGGACGCGTTCTGTGATTTCCTCCGCGACGTCCCCTGGGATGGAGTCTTTACGCTCCCCGTCCAAGAATGTGCTTCTGAGGTCTCATCCTGGGTTAAAGCTGGAATCGATGCTTTTATCCCATCAAGGAAATATAGGGTCAAGTCGCGCTCCTCCCCCTGGTTCTCCGCTGCTTGCTCAGCCGCCATCGTCCATAGGAACCACTACTTTCACCTATTCTGTAGCGACATGTCTGACTGCAATAGACGTCTCTTTGCCTCCGCCCGTAACGAGTGTAAGCGTGTCCTCAATGATGCTAAGTCACTATTTGCGGCTCGGATGAAGGAACGTATTGCATCTCGCAAATTTGGCTCCAAAGATTACTGGCTGGCGTCTCTGCAAGAGCGCATTGAACAATTGCAAACCCTCTATACCTCCTTTATTCAACCAGTTCGAAGTCCTGACCTCCTCTGCCGACAAGGCTGAATGCTTTGCTCGGAAATTTTCATTCAACCCGACGCTCGACTCTTCCGATGTACCCATACTCGACTTCTCTCTCAGAACTGAGGCTCTATTGAGTGGGCTACATATAACCCCATCTCTGGTATTGGGCGTTATCTCCAATTTAGACACCAACAAGGCTAGTGGTGGAGATGGTATACCAGCCATTGTCTTGAAGAAATGCGCGCCTGAACTAGCGCCCGCCCTTTCTAAACTATACAACTACTGCCTCAAGGAATCTTGTTTTCCGGACTACTGGAAGTCCTCTTCGATTGTTCCTATTTTCAAGAACTCTGGCGACCCATCTGACCCTTCTAACTATCGTCCTATCAGTCTCCTACCCCTCTTCGGCAATGTCTTCGAAGCCCTAATCAATACCGAAGTCGTTAACCACCTCACATTCCATGATCTGCTCTCAGACAAGCAATATGGCTTCCGCTTTGCCCGATCTACAGCTGATGTGCTTACGGCCATCACTGAAACTGTCTACCAAGCTCTTCAAAATAACGGGGAAGCTCGTGCCGTGGCACGAGACATCTCCAAAGCATTTGATAGGGTTATGGCATTACGGGTTGATTGTTTGACCTAATACAATAATTCCTGTCAAACCGTGAACTGAAGGTCGTTCTCAACAGATTCTCCTCTAGTTCCTATCCCACGGACGCAGGTGTTCCTCAAGGCCCCACTCTATTCCTTATCTACATAAACAACCTCCCTGATGCCATAAATTCCCAAGTTGGCATCTACGCGGATGACACCACAATTTATTCCTGCCTCAAAAATAAATCTAGTGTCACTGACAAAACTAATCTGGCCGTGTCTCTCGAAAAGGACCTCCAATCGTTTGTGAACTGGGGCAGGAAGTGGCTGGTCAACTCCAACGCTTCAAAAACAAAACTGCTCTCTATTAATCACCACAGAGATCCTTCCTTGTCCTCCATCAGAATGTCTGACGCTCAACTTCTCAAGAGCACCTCCCTGCGGCTGCTCGGTCTCACGTTGACTGCTGACCTGAGAAGGAACAAATACATTGAGTCAATTGCCTCGTCCACCGCAAGGAAAGTTGGCTCCCTGTGCCATGCCAGGAAATTTTTCTCCCCGGAATCGATCCTCCAGATATACAAATCAACAATTGCATGGAGTATTGCTGCCATATATGGTCTGGTGCCCCTTCTGTTTGCCTCGGGCTTCTTGATAGGCTCCAGAGGCGGATATGCAATATAATTGGCCCTGCTCTGGCATCTCGTCTACAGTCACTTTCTCACAGACGCATCGTCGCCTCTCTCTGTCTGTTCTACAAATACTTTCATGGTAATTGCTCCGAGACTTCATGAGTTCAAGCGCCCTACGAGGCTGGCATCCCGCTCTCACCCCTTCACTGTCGAAACTCCTAAATGTAGCCGTCTCTTCTACTCCAATAGCTTCATGTCTCGCACCTCTCGCCTGTGGAACTCCCTTCCCTTTTCCTGTTTCCTTGAGAGCTATAATCTCCAGCTATTCAAGAGTAATGTCAATGGACATCTCCAGTTGCATTGATCTATCCACTACTCTTCTCCTCATACCCTCTTCTATCACTCCTATCTGATCTCGCTCTATATTTTCTCTAACCCCTTGCGTCCTAGTGGCTTCCCGCCTTGCTTGGGGTGAAATGAAAAAAATAAAAATAAAATAGTTTGTAAAGAGAAGGATATGATTAACAAGTGTTTTATTTTATCAGATTACCATTAATACTTTATATCTTAATATTGAGCATTTTACATGTAAATACTGCTTGCATTTTTAGAATTTTTTAAAGAAATACACTATTAAATAATTTGTTGTTTTGCTTTCAATTTTGGCGAAAATAACTTTTACTTTTATTATTAGATCTACTTCTAAGGCAAAACTCTATCTATGAAAGAACTGAATTATTTTGCTAACGGTTTTATGTTAAGAATTATAAAAATACATTTATGAAATAGAAATTATTGTTTGTAGTATAACATTCAATTGGAATTTAAAGAAGACGTGTGTGTTATGGAGTTTAACATTTGAGCAGATCATTTGATTGCTTGGGCCGTCAGCTTGTAGGAAAACATGTCGCAGATTTTGAATGATGGAAATCGCTTTCTGTTGATGTTCTGAATCTCCTCAATAAAAGATAAATCTTACAGTGTAAACAAAAGCGTTAGATGCGATCTTAATCAGCTTTAAATTGTTTCAGTTTATTGCATTTGCCTTTCAGGTTTGCTCCGATAAAAGTCGAATCCGCTTTTAATTTGTGCAAACTCCGATTTTGCTAGGATGCCAAATGACGAAGTGGTTGTTGGAAAACGTGGCGCTGTTTTCAGAGATAAGAGACGGGAATCCATAAAAATGAT